TTAGTATTAAGATTCCCAATTTTTTTGTTTCTGTTTTTCTTTTCAAACAAGACAGCTCGACACAATTGAAGAGAGCGATTGCCGAAAAGCGCACGCAATTCGCGACTAAATACGTGGCAATAATTTAACTGTTAACTATTGGTTTGGGCCAAGAGGAATATAGTGGTGTGAAATTGCTTCTTCGGACCTTCACTTAAGCTCCCTATCTCTCTCTAATTCTTATTTGGTCTATTTGTAGCAGTCAAGTCATAAAGTTGTCATACTGACAGTCCCTCAGTGTTTGAGATATCGAACTGAAATTTCGCACACGTCATTTTCTCTTCAAGAAGCTGCTCGTTTGTTGAAATCGCCGATATTGAATCACCATAGGTTATAGCTACCACACAAAATCTACGATCAAAATCAAGTTCTTATATGGAAAGCGTTTTATCTGACAAAATATCTTCACGAAATTCGGCATAGTATATTGTTCAATGCAACGTTACAATTTCCGAAAATATTGTCAAATATCGGACAACTATAGCATGTAGCTACCATACAAACTGACCGAATAAAAACAAAGATGTTTTCATTACCTTTTATGCTTTAAGAAATGCATCTGTGAACGGTATTATAGCTTCGGTGAAACTGAAGTTAACGTTATTTTATTTTTTTTATATCTTTTATTTTATTATTATTTTATATTATTTTTTTATTTTATTTTATTTTTTTTTATATCATTATTTTTTTATTTTATTTTTTATTTAATTTTTTATTTATTTTATATTATTTTTTTATATTATTTTTTATTTATTAATTTTTATATATTTATTTATTTTATATTTTATTTATTTTATTTTTTTATATTATTACTTTTTTTTTCTTTTATTTTATATTTTTTATTTTATTTTATTTTTTATTTTTTATACCATTTTATTTATTTTATTTTATTTCTTTATATTATTTTTTATTTATTTTTTTTATACTTATTTTTAATTTATATATTTTATTTCATTTATTTTATTTTATTTTTTTATATTATTTTTCATTTTTTTTTTTTTTTATATTTTTAATTTTTTTTTTTTCTTAATAATCATTTTTCTTTCAATTTTATATTTTAAATATATTTAATATTATTAAATTAAAGTAAGGCTTATTTGACTAAATAAACAAGATATTTTAATTTTTGTTTATATTTTTATTTATATTTTTATTTTTTAATTATATACGAGTATATAGTTTTTTATAACTTCATTTTATTTTTTTCATTTTTTTGTAAAATTTAATTTTTTATTATTAAATTTAAATTTTTATTATTTATTATTCATCGCTATTATTTAAAGCGATAATAATAACAAGTTCTAGATTTATTGCTCTCACTTTTTTTTTATTATTTTACGTTGTGGCTTTTGTAATCGTCTTTGATTAAAAGTTGTTTACTTTTTGTTTTGTTTTTGCTTTTAATTTCATTTTACGCTAATTTAGTTGACGATTTTCTCATTTTCTCTTGCTTTTTAAAATGTTACACTCTGAGCGCAACCTCGGTCTGTTCTCACTCTCTCCATACGCTCTGCTGCAACTTTTGCATCTTTACAAACTTTGGCAATAAAAACCAAAAACAAATGTCAAAGCTTTCGACACCCAACGCACACTATCGCTAGGGACCAGTCACGCGATGTAGGGGAAAGCTTTTCTCCCAATTACCATCACCAAAGGTCAGCGTCGAGCATTCGCGTTAGCTTTTACACGCAATAAACGCAACAAACTACTTATTAACAACAACAACAACATAAGCACACAAAAACTATCGTCTTAATTCGGGCTACAACTCATGTTTCCTTGAACATATATATGTATGTATATTTGTATGTATGCGTGTACTTATATATCTAAGTAAACAACAAAGAATGCTGTGTGTGTGTGTGTATGTGAGTATATGTGTAACATATAACTTATATGGTACATACATACATATATATCTAATTTTCCGCTATATTCTCTCACTGTCGCCACAATGTCTTCCGTTTTTGTTTTGATTTACCAGCAGCTATTGTCTTCGGCAACTCATGCCCGGCTTACTTTGCGCCTCCCCACAGCGTCAGAACGACTGGTGCGGCGTGGCGTGGCGTAGCGCGTCGTCACAACAAATCAGTGTGATTACGACAAAAGCAGCGCCATCAAAGCGCGTTGATTGAAATTTAAATATTCATGCCGGCAAAGGTCTGTCTGGCTGCCGAAATTGTAGGCGTGAGTGTGTGCGACTACAGATACATATATGTATGTGTACGAGTATGTATGTATAGCTGTACCATACAAGTATATACCGCTTGTAATGACTGTCTGTTGCTGCTTTGTTAAACTAATTAAGACAATTACTTTCGGCGATGAAATTCTGTTCAATTTGAATTAGTTACAATTACCACTCCTCTCCAACAGGCAACGGCAGGAAGGTTTCATCAAACAGACACACACACATAAAACTTCACAACTTGTTTGTTAGCAATGACATCTAAATATGAAAATTAGTAACGGAATTAATTTTCAATTCAATTTGTTTGTCGAACATCACAACAACAACAACTATCGCTGAATCTCAAAATGCGAATGCGCGAGTGTTGATGTACATATGTAAGTCTGTATGTATTTATTTGAACAGCAACAGGATGCAGCCGGCAACACAGGCGCACACACACACATACATATATGTATCTTTAAATAAGTATATACATAGATATATATACATATATATACAAATGTATATGCACAATTAGCTCTCATGCTTAATTTGCGCTAATTTTTGTTGACAAATTTAACGTGTTTTGGGTACTCAAACATGCCAACATAGCGTATACGTAACAATCCAGTATGAATGTGGACATTGTAAATTAATTATACGCAGTGGCGTACACAATGCAGGTAAGCGCATAAATAAATGTAAAATATATATATATATGTATGAGTATAATTGTTTGTACATATATATTTATATTCGCTTAATTGTAAATATTCAAATGTAAATACAATTATAAACGTCAGCAGAGCGACGGAAACCATTAAATTGCGTAGTATATGGGAGCTCAGAGTATACTTGTAGATAGATTTTTGGATCAATAAATTTGAAAGTTTTCTCAGAAAGACTTCTGTAAAATTCACTTTTTTTCGGCCTTCTAACTGTATATAACCCCTCAAAAAGCTATATCTCAGGAACCAATTGTCCGACAGTTCTAAAATTCATAAATCTGTCTTTTCTTAATTCTCACTATAAAACACTTGATGGCAATAGCAGTAGCGCATTTTCACAAAATCGATACGAAATTTTCTAACGGCATGGCCTTCGGTCTGCCCGATCTCTACAATAAATCTTAATATTTAATAAATCTACCCTATTCTTATACTCAGAAGAAGCTATAGAAAGTTTGCCACGAAGTTTGTAACACCCAGAAGAAAACTTCGTAGACCCCATAGTACAGCTGTAGATAAACAATCAGCGTGTCGAGCCGTGTCAATTTGGACAAGTCTGTTTGTCTGTATAAACATGAACTTGTCCATCAGTTTTCGAGATATCAATCTGAAATTTGGCACACTTGCATTTCTCCTCAAGAAAAAGCTGCTCATTTGTCCGCCAATATCGGACAGCATATAACTGCCATAAAAACTGAACGATCGGAAAACTTTAACATTTGACGAGATATCTGCACAAAATTTCACATGGATTATTATCTGAAAATCAAGTTTCTGCAAAGAAAATTTTGTATACGGACTAAGCTGACATGATCGGTAAGCTTGAACAACGACTATATACTACAGTAATACGATCAACAATGCTACAGTAACAACGAACAATTTGTTAGAAGATAGTTGCGTTGCCTTGGTCCATGCCAAATCGTGTGAAGATATCTTTTAAAATGAAAACATTTTATATACGGAGACTTGATCAAAACAATTTACAAAGTGGTCATGCCCGATTGTAAACAAAAATTGTTGATTTGGCTAAATCTAAACAAAAATTGTTGATTTGGCTAAATCTAAACAAAGTTTGTGGACTTGACTAAATCTAAACAAAAAGGTCACTGACCACATAAAATGTAAACAAAAGATTCATTGACGTCATAATTTAAACAAAGAGGTCATTGACCCCATAAAATGTAAACAAAGGTTGTTGATTTCGCTAAATCTAAACAAAGTTTGTGGACTTGGCTAAATCTAAACAAAAAGGTCACTGACCCCATATAATGTAAACAAAAGATTCATTGACGTCATAATTTAAACAAAGAGGTCATTGACCTCATAAAATGTAAACAAAGGTTGTTGACTTGGCTAAATGCATCTAACACCCAGTTCCCTAAGGTCCGACCCCGTCGAAACAACTCGTTTCCTGGGCATCCCGTTAGATGACGTCGACGACAACTTAACTATAACTTATCACCCAAGCGGGGACTAGGTAACCGTTACAACAACAACAACTTGGTTAAATGTAAACAAAGATTGTGGACTTAGATAAATGTAAACAAAAGGGTCATTGACCTCATAAAAAAATGTTAACATAGGGATCAATAAACATATAATGTAAACAAAGGGGGTCGTTGACCCCATATAATGTAAACAAAAGTGTAACAGACCCCTTCAAGTGTAAACCAAGTTGCACGCGTTCTTTTTTTTTTAAGAAATTCATCATTACTCGGAACCGCCGATATCGGACTACTATTAAATATAGCTACAATGCCAAGTGATAGGTCAAAATCAAGTTCTTGAATGGAAAACTTTTTTATTTGACAAGATGGTATCATCACTAAATTTGGTATAAATTATTAATCAAGGCAACACTACAACCTGCGAATGTATTGTTCAGATCGGACTATTATAGCATATAGTTGTCATACAAACTGATCGATCAATGACAAGATAAAGATTTTTTATACCCTCTTATGCTATAAGATATGCTCATGTGAAAGTTCACATTTTTTCTATTTTTTTTTTTTTGTTCTCTGAAAATTCAGTATATGAATGGTAACGATATTGCATTTACATTTGAAAATGATGTATTTGAGGAAATAGTTATATAATTTACAAATTGATTACTGCCAAAAAGGCCTTACAAAAATTAGTTAATAATATTCAGACACTACGAATATATATATTACTACATTTATACGACGCCGAGTAGTAAGCAGTCGGCAAAGTAAAGAAAAACAGAATAAACAAAATTTAAAGGCTACCGATTTTAGCGGATCTACTGCTAAAAAAAAAAGAGGCAACATAACCCCAACTTATTACCACAGCTTTGCTAACAATTAAATAGTAAATTAAACTTACCAATCTTAATTAATAGTTGTGATTAAAATAAATTGGTATATATCTTGAAATGAACTGATGAATTAAAATTTGTATGAGTATATTTGAATAGCTTGATTTATACTTGATTGGATTGAAGAAAACTGTTGATACTTTGAATTGCATGTGGCTTTTAAAGCTATAAATAAATAAGGAAATAAACTATAGTTCGATTTGATGATGGCGGTGATGTAAAATCTGACACTAATTAAATAAATTTTATTTAAATGAAAAATAATGGTATTAAAGCCTCACCTTAGCACATTTGGTGTCTGTAGAAATACTTAAAAGTAGCTATGTTATTCTTCAAATTAGTTTATTGACTAATCTTAATATTGTTGTATCGTTTAGTGAACTTAGAACCGACTTTCAATAACGATTACAATTGCAGTCGAAGCCGTTTAAAATATGTATTAAAAAAAAAAAAAACATTTCGTTGAAAATGATTATTGTTTAAACATTAAACTCGGGCGTACGAGCAGTTAGCTCAATTATGCGGTTGCTACAAATCACTCTCGGTCACTACATCGTGTGATAGATGTTCGAAGTTGTGTGCCAATAATTGGGTCACAATACAATCAGAACATTGATTCAAATATCTATAACAAGTATTGCAACGCCAATGTAAACGTGAAATGGCGCTTACACAACATGTTTCACACATGGCAGCTAGTGGATCTGGATTATATCCTTCAGGTGTTTTCAATTTCTCATCCTTAATAATTGTCAAAATTTTTATCACACGTTCACGATCGTCATCGTTTTGCACCTCAATACCGTTCGCAATCGCATCTTTCAGTAGCGTTTCCGTTGAAACCTTACGAGTATCTGTTGGCAATGACGAACTCGACGTTTGTAAATCACCCATTAAGAAGTCATCGTCTGGCATGTGTACAGGCACGTTAAAGGCTGGGAAGAAAGTAGTCGGGCGAAAGAAGTGCTTCGCTTTCGATTGTCCACCGCGCCGATTTTTTGGCCGACGTCCCGGTATGGGTAAACCAGCATCGTGTAATTTTTGAAAATATTTCTGCACACGACTACACACTTGTTGTGGTGTACGATTACCCAAAGCTTTGGCAATTTTTACATAACGACGACTTTCGATCGCTTCAGCGGGATATTCGATAAGCAACTCTTCGAGTCGACGTTGCTCTTCGCACGACCACAACTGTGGAAAAAATGTTAGTTATGTATTAGAAATTTATATAAGTAGACATACAATATAACTAACCTGATTAAATGTCTCGGGCTTAGACTCGTCTACAACGCGTCCACGCACTGTTGCCGGTTTTGTATCAGAATCAGGTTCTTCTTTAATGTTGATGTCCACAGGCGGTAGCAAGTCCAAATTGGTAGTGATTTCTGGCAACTGTGTAAAAGAAATGGCAATGGAATTCAATATCATATTTAATATAAATCAATCGGTTTAAGACTTACCTTTTCAATAGTCATATAGTTGGGCGCTATAATTTCCTCATTATTTCGCAGTTTTTGCAGCAGTAACTCTGGGTCATTTAAATAACGCTGTTTTGCCAACTCTAATTCCTCTAACTGCAATATTTATGTGTTAATATGTTGTTAATGTGATATGTAATGTAATGGTTGCTACCTGTTTATGCACACGCATTCTTTGCACCTCTAGTACGGCTATAGTGCGCAGCATATTTGTGTAATCCGCATTACCACGTAAAGCTAGATGATCACTTTCAAAATAGAACGTATTATCCTCTTCACAACTATCACTCTCGTTCATTCTAAAATTCAAATTTTGCGAATATCAACAAAAATTTACTTTTATAAAAATTATATGCAACTTTATAACTTCAGGGCGCCAGAGCGTTAACAACGAATCAGCTGTATACAAATACTGTGCAATAATTGACCATTGTAGATCGTATTCTAATATCGTAACTCTGGTAGCACCACACGTAGGCCCATTCACATATAATTTCCCCGCTACAAATGGCGACTACTGCCAGAGAACGTATATACGTTATTGTCGATTCTGAGTTTTTCTGGTATTCGTGTACGCCACAATAAAATCATGGATAAGTGCCGTTTCACATTGGGATTCAAAAGAGTCTGATGTTTTTCAAATTTTCTTTTGGTGTCGCTCTGGGCATTCACACGGTCAAAAAGAGTCCAGCAACTCGAGTCTAGTTTTTCTGCATTCCTTTTCACAAAATTTTCGTAAATATTTGTGCGCTTCGACTGCGCAACACTGCGTGCTGCGTATTTCACATTTTGCTTGCAATGAATTACCATGAATATGGTAGAACAATATGCATAATACAAGTACCTACCCACTAAATAGTTTCAAAGAAATACTAAGGACGGGAATTCCCTAATCCACAAGAATGTATTGAATATCCGCTACTAATATTTTCAAGGCCAAATTTTAATAAGAATTTCCTAATCTTTAAGTATTAAAAACTCATAATTTCTTTACTCCGTATTAAAAATTCATAATTTCTTTACTCCATAATCTATATCTTAATTTTCTCCTTCTTTAAAATTTGTCATAATATTTCTATTATTCTATGCATACATATTTGCATATTACATACAAAAATAGATAACAGAACTCAAATTTGCGATCGAATTCATTTGAAACCGAGTGCTCTTGCAACCATTCAAAGAATTTGAAAGTGAAAAGGAATGCTGAAAAGGGTAGCAGCGAGCTGTTACGAACAAGAACACAAAGCGTGCCACCCGAACACGAGTCCCCTCGCCCACAATAAACTGGTATGAGACTCTTTTGAGTCCCTGTGTGAAACGGCACTAAGCAATGACATCATTGCATAAGAAAAAGTTTTTGTTGAAATTTGTTTTATAATTTTGTGAACCCCGTATTTACTTCATTTATTTATTCGTTCCAACTATTTTATAGGATTGTTTTGAATACATTGCATTCAATTTAGTTCGAGCTGCCGTCGAAATTTCTGTACATTTATATTGTAATATGTCTTCCAAAAATGTTATTGACATGCAGCAAGAGTTTGCTAACAAAAATGGTAAATATTATTTCTGAAAACTATTTTATACAAGTAAAACGTTTTAATAATTTACACACATATTGGTGTTAACAAAAAGTGCGTCGATCCCACTTGCCTGTGTCTACAATCCTTATTTTAGTGGTTGATAAAGATGTCATAGATATTTCGAACTGCGAAGAATTCAAATGTCATAATGTCATCACCAAGCTTAGAAAAATCGGTGAGTCACATGCAACTATTTACAAGAATGATGGAGATAGTGATAGAGATTTTCCTTCATTCTTAAATACTTGATTAACACTATTGCTATAAATAAATTGATATATTCTAGCCGATGTCGATAGCAGAACTTTTACAGACGAAAATGGCAACATATATCTTGATTGGGAGTCATACAAGAATAAAAATACGTTGGAATGTGGTATTATGGTTGCGCCATTGAACGGTTATTACGAATTTGATGAAGCTGGAAAAGTAAAACTAGAATTTAGCGAAACCCCAACCGCTTCTATAAAACCCAGTGATGTAGTAAGATCTACGATTCGCGAGGTACAACAAGATTTTGCAATGGACGGTAAATTTTTTATTAAAACATATATTTTTTTTTTTTTTTAATTTTTATTCTTAATGTATTATATGATCTTTAAAGCTAGTGGCAGTTCACAAACAATATATGTATTGGTCACAAATTCGAATAACTTGGAAGTAGCTGAAAATTCGCGAGACTTTAGTTATCATCCTGTGATGCGTTCCGGTATATGTACATATATATATATATACTTATTTGGATATGAATTTATATATTGTAATATTTTTTATCAAACACTTTGCAGAACGAAATGGAACATTTGTAGACGAAGATGGTAACATTTACAAAAATTGGGAGGCTTACAAGAGTGAGAACAAATTGAATGCTGGTATTTTAGTCGCCCCCACAAATGGACATTACAGCATATCTGAAAATGGGCAAGTCAATCTTGAAGCTTGGAAAACGGCAGCTATAAATAAGCCAAACATAAATATCAGCCGGCAATCTAGCTATAACGACAGCAACAGCCGTCAATCGGTTACGATTCATGAATATCATTGTAATATGGCGCGAAAAAGTAATTAAATGAATAACGAATTAATTTATAGCCAATAATTGCTATTTATGTATATCGTTGTTATGGCAGGTAGTGAAATCGTTAATAATAGTAGCTGGATTTATGTGCTAGTCACAAAAATAACTAACAAGCATGATGCCATAAATTCAAAAGAGTTTACAACTCATAAAGTGCTAAGGAGACAAAATGCTACAAGTACGAGTAAAATAAGCCACCAATGTGTTTTTAATTGTATAAAACTGTTAAAACTTCTCTTTACAGCTGAAGATTACGTTTTCATAGACGAAAAAAATAACAAATATTTATGTTGGGAATTATATATGACGGAAAATAATTTACCAGAAGGCATTATGGTTGCTCCTCTAAATGGTATTTACAGCTTGAATGAGGAAGGAAATGTTGACTTAGAGATATGTTTTACGCCGGCTTGCATGCCAAGGTCAACAGAAAAATCAAATGATATTCACTTGAGCAACATACAACAATATGCTGCATTAATAAGTAATGAAGAGGATTACCTGGAGAAGTACTGTCACGCCAACGACCTCCACACGGAATGGTGCAGCACGGACTGCAACCCACGGGGTGAGTCTCTCCTTCAATTCATAGTTAGTAAGAACTTAAGCATTTCAAATGTGGGGTGCGAACCCACTTTTGTAACTAGTGTCAGAAGAGATGTGCTTGATATCACTCTTGGTCACGAACTTCTGACAGGGCTAACCTGGCAATGGAGAGTATCATCGGAACTCTCCATGTCAGATCACCCTATCATAAGATTCGCACTGGGGGTAGATGTCATGATACTCCCTCCCAGACATATCCCTAGAAACACAGACTGTGCCACCTTCAGGAATACGCTTGAAATACATGTCAGTAGGAGGGGGCAGCTGGACAGCAGTGTAACGGCTTCTGGACTGGAAAGCAGATTGTCTGCGTTAAACCAGTCCATTATAAAAGCATATCACAGCTGCTGTCCCTTAAAGACAATAACAGTCCTTGGCCGGATAAAATCCGGGTCAATTCCGGTAAGGAGAATCGGCTGTTGTGGAAATTGCTGGACCCCAGTGCCTATAGTTGACTTTTTACCGAAAATATCGGTCAATGTGTAAGATATATAATTGAAATTTATATAATAAAATAAATAAATTAAACTCTCGATAATAGTATGTTTTTGTGTCAAAAATGGGTTGAATTGGATTAATACTTCCTTTAATAAAAATTTTGCCAACACATGAAGTAATTTCCCGGACTTTGATCTTTTCAAGTTACGAGAGCATAAAATGTTCGGTTACACCCGAACTTAGAACTTCCTTACTTGTTTTAAATTTCTATCTTATTTACACGTTTAACAATTAAATGAAATATATTATATTTTACTGCGATGTTCGCAGTATTGAAATATTAAGCAGTATGCAATAGCTCTGTTAAAAAAGCGGGCTAAATGATCTTACTTTCGTTAACGATAACAATGATTTGCAATTTGAATAATTGTAAATTGATTGAACATAATCATTTATATATAATATGTATGTTACATAAGTATTTTATGACTTAAATATTGTAATTGTAAAATTAACTAATATTTATTTCTGTCAGTTAAATCGGAAGGTGAAGGTAAAATACCAGTCAAATCGATACAAGACGGTATAGTGGTTGAGTCACTTAATAGCAATTACACACTGGATGAAAAGGACAATGTAAATTCATACATTCATCAAATTCAACAGCTGACGTCAAAAACAGAAAAAAAAGAAAAGAAACCGCGAACAATTCGGGAAGTGCAGCAAGATTTTGCAAACAACAGCGGTTTCAAGAAAGAAATCATTTGGGATTTGTGAGTTAATATATATGTACATATACATACATACGACTTATTCTAGTATAAAGTTTTTTCTTGTTTATTCTTACAATTAATAATTTTTCTTCAATATTTATTGTCATCATACAGGTACACTGTAGAACAAAGTAAAATGTTGAAGGACAAATTAAAGAATCTAATTCCTGATCAAAATAAAGGAAATAGAAAAATAGTGGAAATGCGAAAAACTATATTTGACAACGTTTGGGCACAAAGTGAGTATGCAAACTATCAATAAAGCTCGCTACGTTTATCTAACTAATAAATACATATAACTTGTTCAACAGGAAAATACACTAACCGAAATTCTTTGAGTGCAATTATTTATGTGTTTGTGACCGATTGTGATATTAAAAGACTCGCTATGGACGCTAAAAAATTCTCTTGTCATCCCGTTTTTAGAACACGAAAATGTACAAGTACGTGTCCTTGTGAATTATCTCCGTTTATGTACATACATACATAGTTTACTTGACACATGAATATACATACATATATACAAATATATATATTTTTATTTCGCAGCTGCTAGCGATAGTTCGCATTGTTGCATGATATTCATTGATGAACTGGGGCGTGTTTATAAAAATTGGAAAGCATATTTGGCTAATAATGAACTACCGAGTGGCTGGATGGTTGCACCGCGTAACGGTATTTATACAACTGATAATGACGGACATGTACAATTGGAGGTGCATATTACACCGAATGGTAGCGACGCTAAAAAAGCACTGCATTTCGCAGACACAGCGACAGCTGTAGCCGGATTTGGTGCGGCTACAATCCCATTAGCAGCAATGATGATCACAATGGCACCGGCTGTAATAGTTGGTGCTGGTACTGTTTGTGTTACCACAGCGGTATACTCAGCCATACGCTCAGCATTCAATTTACTAGATCGTAAAAATCATCAACAGTCCATCGCGTTCGATAACGCGCAAGCGAGAAATGCTTGGATAGGTGTTGGAGCTGGTGTTGTTGGTGTAGGTGCATCGCGTGCTACGAATGTTATGACAAAAGCCGCTGCTGCCGGAAAGGAGATATCGTTGGTAAGTAAAAATTGTAATTTTTTATGTCCATTTGACCGCGAAAAAAAAATCAGCTACAACAATAACAACCCTAAACGCGAAAAAGAAGTATTTAGTTTAGTTTTTGAGTTATCGATCTGAAATTTTGCACACGATATCAGTCCACTCTAGCATATAGCCGCCATACAAACTAAGCTGTAGTTAAGCCGAAGTAAACGGTTTTCTTGTTTTTTCATAAAATGCGGCACTAATATGCTTTATTTCTAGGTTACCGAAATAATTGTCAACGGTATGAACATTTCATCCATTGTATTATCCGGAACCGGAGTAGCAAATGGAATTCTAGATCTAATAATTGTAAGTTAAAAATATATATTACATACCATTATTAGTTAAAATCTCATATCATATTTTTTCATACATTTTCTTTATTTTTTTTTTTAGAAAGTTTGCGATGATGAGGAAGTGACAAATTTGGAACTATTGCAATTGGCCTCCTCTTTGGTACTCTTCACACATTCTGTATCGAATTTTCGTATGGCATCAACACTAGTAAATGACACACATAACACCACAATACAGGACTACCGAAAGTCCTTAAGTAATCGCCAAAGAAAAATATTTGATAAAATGTCAAAGGAAACAGTTCGTATCAAAGGCGCACAACAAGGAAAAATAGATATTATACGTGGCGCTAATGATATGCCCAGCAAACAATATCTAAATGATCTCTACAAAATTAACAAGAAATTAAATGAAGCTAAGGTGCGACCTGCATTCGGTGCAGGTGGGGAAGGAGTCGTGCTCAATAATGATGTGGCAGTTAATACCAACGACTTACGCAATAATCTTCAACATAATCGTGGTCCTAATGTGCTAAATACGGTTAACAAACCAATACCTACAGCACATGCTGAAGTAAATGAGGTTAACAATGCCAAATTGCTGTTCTCAAATGTAAACAATAATAGCCAATCGGCACAACCAAGCGCGCTCGAAATCGGCATGAGTAAGATTTTGCTTCCGAATAATGTCTTAATTTTATTAAGCAAATATGGTTCGCGAATTTATGAGATTATATCTAATCCTGGCAGCTTTGATGACATAATAACTACCATGGCTAATCATTTTTCAGAGGAAACATTTGATTTCCTAATGAAAGTGGCACAAGAATTTGTTGAAACAAAATTAGAAAGGATAAGGAATACAATACAAGTTTTTATACCCGCCGAGAATATACTTTATCGCATTTATTTGTACGTTATAGACGAATGTAAAGCACAAACATTTAAATACTTATATACCATAAGAGAACAAATATTGAGCGCTTTAAGTGAGTACTATTATTCACTTAATCCGAAAAGTTATTTAATACCGCGCGAATGTAATATTTGTGGCGGTTTTTATTCAATATGCAATTTATAAATTGGCGTTGGTAAAACGCACAACGAAATCTAAATACCATTGAGGCCTTAATATCAAGCACTTTAATGTTGCAACTATTTACTAAATAATATGTTTATATAAAATTGTACTCTACACTTACAAGCATGTATATTATACAAATAAAATTTATTCTGAGTACGTAAAAAATTGCTAGATTAGGGCTTATGGTTTGCTTTTGTCATGTCCTATAAGATCGCAAATTTTTATACTTTATTTATGGTGGCTTACCGCACCATTCAGTAGGAACGGCTCTTGTGTGTAATTTTATGTTCATCTTCTCTTTCAGTTAATGCCGAAAAACGGCTCTGTGGATACTGAGTTTAATATTTATTTTCTCATAGCAGATACTGTCGCTGATATTTCCAAAGACAATAAATTCTCTTAGATCCATAAGGGCAGCTACGCAAACTTATATTGCAGTCACATTAGAAGCATCCACATTGATGGCCAATACATGTTACCATTAAGTGCAGCACTAGGAAGAGAATTTTTATATTTTAAAGCCTGTTACTCTAGGTATATTTTACATAAAGTCGTTTCACCGTTATTCAAATATGATAACACTATGTATTTAATTAATCATGGATTACACCGAACAAATAAGAAACAAAATTTTTTTAAATTCTGAAGTGGAAAATTTTGAATTGTCACACAGTCATCTTGGCGGTGATTTTAATGCGGTGTTGCCACTTTATTTACGATATATACAAAAATCACTGCTAAAACCTTGCGCTGAATACGAATTTCCAGCGTGGCATCTATAACTGAAACGCGGTACCGCCTTATTACCGGAACTGCATTGCCAATTGTTAAGTTATGCCAAAGATTTCCGTCTGCTTCGTCAGTTTCGCGATTGTAAGCCGACGGAAACGCGTAAAATGCTTCCGCGAGTGTAATTTTAATTTTAATTAAATAAAAGGTCTATATTAAAGTGTATAGTATATACATATATATAGAAGTGTAAGTGTTTTGAATATTACGTGTGTTAATAATATATCGAATTATGAGTAACTGGCTGCTATTTTGAGGTAAGCTTTTAACTATGCACTTTACTTGAATATATAAATTTATATATACGTGTACATACATATGTATGTAGAATATGCCAACAATTTACCAACAATAGTGAGAAAGAAATTGCTAGGTGTTAATTTTCACCCTTCAACAGAGAGCGTATAATATATTATATAATACGTTCCCTGCTTCATCTTCCACGGAATTTATTAAAAGTATGAATACATATAATATATATACATATATACGCTTAGTTGCAATATGGGTTTACATTTACCAGGTGTACCGGTATGGAAAATTGTTGTGAAAATGAAATAGTAATTTTGAAAGGGAAAGTAAAAAAAATTGTATTCAAAGTATTGACCATTGCTTTTTACACATTTTGACCACCTTTCTGGCAATTTGTGGATACCATGCCAATAGAAATGTTCGTTTTTTGAATCAAACAAATCAGACACCCAATTTTCGACTTCTGCGAAAGAATCGAATTCCTTTATAATTTACTAAAATTTAACAATTGCCAAGTTTAAAGGGTAATTCAATTAACAAATGACCATTGGAAAGCAGCCAACGACTTTATATGAAGTTTAGAGAGAACAAGCTATTTACTCCAATATTATTTTTCAATAAAAATGTGTTTTTGCAGCAGCATAAAATCTGTTCCTCAGTATTATTGGAAAATACTGTTGATGTGACAATTATTCGCAGAATTTATTCGGTTTTGGTTCCCATATGCACCTAAAAATTCAGATTCCAATCATCGGATTGGAACAGTTACAAATAAAATCCTTTAAAAACAACATATCTTGGTATTTAAAAATCAGTTTTCTAAAACTGAATTTAGATTTGAGAAGATTCTTTGTATTTATGAATTAAAAACTGTAGATGCTGTTTGTTTCGGTAGCGCCTATTGTTTGTAGATGGAAAGAATTGTTAATAGACATTCATTAGCAGCTCTTCTAGTCACTTCTCATGTAAGTCCATTTGAATATATTTAAAAAATTATATCGTTCCAACTCAAGTGGCACGATAAATTAAGTTTTAACATTACAAGTTCTAATAACAATATTGAAATAACTTATCCAAAGTAGATGTTGTTGTTCTGATACCGAATAATAAACCCGCTTTGTTCAATATTAAATTACTTTTATTAATTTAACAATTATATTAGTAAACGAATGATGAAAGCACAATTTTTTATACTTTCTCAACATTTTCTGCGTCTTTCGCCTCACCTTCACTCTTAACTTTTTTAGCATTCACCGCCGACTCAGACGCTATTTTATCAGCTAGTTCTGCTAATTTTTCACGTTTGTAATCCTTTCGCGCTTCATCTAATAAAACATTATGTATTAAATTACGATTGTTTATATAATCAGGCAATAACGATGGGTATGGATTGCCACGCAATTCCAGCACCGATTTTCTATAATACATGCCGGGGTAATCACGAGGTGCTTTGTACATGCGGGTATACGATACATTACAGTTCTCCAACCGTGGCACTAGTACTTTGAAAAGTTTATGCACCAATTGTTTTTCGAGCAACCAATAATCCGCCAATTCCATTGTGGCTTTATGACGATCGCCATAACGTATCGCATTGGAAATTAGCTGCAATTGTAAAATAACAATTAATTATATTAACACTTTGCTGTGTTATAATTTACTAACCAATTCAGCATAGCCGCGCGCTTCATCAGCTCTATTGTAGTATAATTCTATGCGCTCATGCTTCACTAGCGCCGTCACTGTTTTGCGTAGTTTCAATAAACGACCCTCCGGACCATCTGGATTACGTAGATTGCGATGTGGTTTAACAGCAATACGCAATTGCGACATCAGTTTACTAACGTCGGCTTGATTCATTTTAAAGTTACTCTTATTTCATAAATTATTTAAGAAAGTTGTGTGAAAATATTAAATGCCGCAATTAGAGTTAGATTTTTACGTAAATAGTGCAATGCGTTGCTGCACGAGTGGGTTGTCAAATCACAAACAGCTGTTTGCTGTCAAACGAAGGTAGTAGATTGAAATATTGAAATAGTAAGGTGTTTAAGAATACTAATAGAATTGCATCTACTATTAACAATTTGGAGAAATTAATAAAATTAAATTCGTTTCAAATTAAAAAAAGTGGAATGAAATTAGATATTACATCTTATTTTATATTAAATTAATGTCCGTAAATTGTGTTATAAGCCTACCTGATGCAGAATTGTTCAGTTTGCAACAAGAAAGAGAAGTTACTGGTCAAAGAAGTTTACATTTCTGCAGTTTTTAATTTACACTCTTCATTTTTTATTGGCTTCAACGTTAAAATGCTCATTTGTCAGTTTGTGGAATCTTGGATTGTTGTTCGAATACTAGCAATATAATTTTGCCCTAGGGATTGAAAATATAGATTTTTAACCGTTGATCGAAGTTGGATAGATCCTTAAAGGCTCCCTTAGTTCGTTCCGAACTGTACCAAATTAATTGCCGATTAGATTTAAAACGCCTACTTTATAACCTCCGATCCGTCAAAACGCAAGTTTCAGTTCAATTTAGTTTTCGATTTTAGGATTACATCGTAAAATAAAGCCTCCTCTTTTGCTTCAATGTGCAGGCATACTTTCCATTCCAAGGAAGTAATAATAGAGTCTCACTAATAAATATTGATTCAAACCGCAAAAATGTAGTTTTTTGGTAACTTTTGCAGTTGCGTCCATTTCCAGTCTTAAAACTCTTCCTGCCGTTAGCTCACCAGCTCAATTTGCAGTAGATACAACCAAACCTTTCATACAAAGCCAGGCAGAACTCACCGACTGAGCTCGATTGCTGTCCACGGGCATTTTATTGCCAACAGAACTGCAAACAAAATGAAAATATTCATAGGTAAAATAACACAAAAAGTTGAAGAAAAGAGAAAAAATAAATTCGTCAAAAAACAAATAGTTCGCAAAATGCTTTACCAACGCCGGAAGCCTGTGGAGCAGCAACAAATCCTTTTAGGTCAATTGCATTGGAATTTATTACATTCGCATGCGTGTGTGTATGTGAGTGTTGATTATGTATGTGACTGCATGCTTTTTTGTTTTTTTGTTTTGTATTGGAAACGCACAGCACGTATCTATGGCTAGCATTTACAGCTGCAGCTAACGCTTTAAAGGTATTTTGTGCATTTTACGCCCCCGTGTGGCCAATAAAATGCAACACTGTGTTGAATAGTGGATATGCCGAATGGTGCTGTGCGCTACATTGCGGTAGAATTAAAATGGAAATGCCAACAAAGCGTAAAGTGAATGAAAATAAATGCATAAAATGGCATCCTGACTTGCATATATGTATGTATATAAGTATATACTCGTATATATATATATATATATATGCGTGTGTGAATTTGCCTAGGCGCTTGGCTGCATAAGCACACGACCGACCATTTTAGATTGCATGCGCTCAGAGCAACTTCATCAAGACTGGCATGCAATGTAACGAAACGCTTGCATGTATAACATTTGTTTACAGCCGCAGTGAAGGGAAATGGATAAAAGTTCGCACAAGTGTTGTTGCTGCTTGACAATTAGGCAAAACAAATCCTTTTTTATATGTATACCTAATTGAAGTTCGAAGAAGATCAGCTAAAATTAAAGCACTGAAAAAAGATCCTAATTTAATAATCTCCAATTAACATCGAAATTCGCAAACTTAAAACACACGTTGTGCGAAAAAGTCCACAAAACAAAAACAACGACGGCACTAAACTTAACAAACAATTGTTGAGAGTTGTGTTGAGAAATTTTAAACGTTGCGAGCAGCTGTGAGCTTATAGGTGTTCATCTAGATAACACGCTTGATATTCAAAAATATTTCTACTGTAAAGGCCTTCAATTTTGCTGCCGAATATGTTACATTGTGCTAAGTAAAACATTTCCATTTAATTTTATCGAGATATCTCTCTCGCTATATATACGTTTTATATGGTTTAATAACAAATAGTGCGTCGAAAACCATTATATTTGAAACAAGGGGGCTGGAAGTAGGTTTGCATGGATTTTAGCCATTTTTTGCGGTACACTATATAATGATCGTGAAATTTTTCCCACGTAATTTAAATAAGATATCTCATATAAGTATATTTAAAAATAAAATTACTATAAAACTAACCGGAAGTAGTTTATAAACCAATTTCCCTCGTTTTCGGCCCTAAACTACGGTATAGACGCTCTATGAAAATCTGGCAACTTTATTTTGTTAAGTTATCTTACATATTGACCGATATTCAGCACTAAACTAAAGCATGCTCCAGATAAGATTGCTGCCCAATTTTGTGGATATATTTTACATATCGACCGATATATACGATATAAAGTCAAACAAGCGACGGTGATTCTCACATTTGGTATATTTTTAGGCTGGAGTAAGATTTAGATTTATTTCTATCATCTTTGTAAAAGTGTTGCCATGTGATACTAGTGTTATTTTTGTCAGATTTTATTTTGATAGCTTCGCTTATGCTTGCGTAATTTATTGGGAAATAAATGAAGGTTGATTGAATGCAAAATTTCGTTCTATGAAAGGTAGGTGTGGCTGTAGCCATCTGGAAAATATTAAGCACCTACTTCGTGCGAAATCAGTCGAGCAGTTTGCGAGCTATTAAATATGACCTTAAAGTATGTTTCATTGAAATAACTTTCGGAGTTACCTGAGCTTACTGGTTTACACCTCTAAAAAAAAACGCCAAACTTTAAACGCGTTTTTCTCAAAACAGTATTTATCAAAACGATACCCACGATTTCTCAGGTTCTTTTGGACCGGTTTACCTGAAATTTACTTCTTTATAGACTGGTCTATGTGTGGAACTAGCCAAGGTGGTACAAACATTGTTTTTTTTCAGTCGACAGTCGTCATTTCGTGAAAAAAGTGTGTTCCAACTCTTCCGTAGTTCCCGGCATTGCGACATTAATCTAGTTTAATATATTTGCTTTTAGTTTCTGATTGCTAGCGAATTGAAATTGCGGGTATTGTAATGTTAAAGAAAAGTAATAAAACAATGTATGGCAAATATATTAATTGCCTTTTTACGACTTTTTCAAAAATACCTGAAATTCATACCTCAAGACTAGAATACCCTTTAAATATGCTTTGAAACAAAGTTGCCACCTATATAGTATAAAAATATAAAACTGCAAATGGGTAAAAATGGCAAAACTTTTCGCAAATTTTTTTTATGGAGTTGCCACCTTTTTTAATAATGTAGGCTCGTGCAAAATATCACAAAATTTCGTTGTGTGATTCCGTATAACCACTGTACAGTTTGCTATTTTGAATTGATTATTTGAAAAATATATACCAAAAGTTAAAAGTTCATAGTTAATAAAAAAATAAAATTTTTCGGAACAAAATTTAAAAGAATTTGCTTCAAAAATAAATCGGTATGTACACATTTATTACGTTAAATATTTTTCGCGCCGAAATATTTATTTTCTTTGTTTTTTTTGACCACTTTTGAAATATTGCCCTGTGCAAAATCGAGTTTGCGATAAAGCACGCTTTTAATTACTTTGGTGCCGTTGAGTGCTGCACGTGCATGTCATGACACTCTTTTTTTCATATAACGCACACATAAACAAACACACACATATGTACATACATATATTCATTTATTTTTTTTATTTTTATTAGCCTGTTAATAAGGCTTTGCAAAGTCATTTTTCATACTCAAATTTGTTTGCCGCCTGCCTTTATGGTTTTACGGGGACAGAGTCTGTCAACAGCGCCTTAACAGCTTATGTGCCAAGTCATTATTCATTGGTGACAAAACGCCCAGTTTATAACGTGTTAAGTTTTCCTTTTTATTTTGGTGTCTTCATGTGAGTTGGCAAATTAAAATGCGATAATTTGGTGGATAATTTGTATGGTGGAAAGAAGGCGATTACGAAGCTTAACAAATTATGAGAGAAAATAGTAATAAGGAAGCGGTAAAAAAAGATTTTTTAGTTTTTAAGAAATGTGTTCATTTATTTAAAAAAAAAGCTATTTATTTATTTAAAAAAAAGCTATTTATTTATAAAAACAAAAATATTAATTTATTAAAAAAAATTTAATTAATTTTATTATGTTCTTAATAACTCTTTCTTTACAAATTATATATATATATATATTTAAAATGTATGTATATTACTTTTAGAAATCTGGTAAAACTTTTTTCTTACTTATAGCCACTTAATTATATCCACTTAACTTCGTTTGCACCAAAGCTATAATACCCTTCACAAATCCAAAATATTCCTTACTAGCACTTGATTTCAAACCTTCAGTTTGTATGGCAGCTATATGCTGCAGTATCATTCGATATCAGCGGTTCCTACATATAAGCAGCTTCTTTGGGAGTTCTCAAAATTGCAAATCAATATCTCAAAAACTGAGGGACTAGTTCGCCGAACCTATGGTTAAGTAACAGTTACATTTTTTCAAAGATATGTCGATCTTGAATTTTTCATTTCAATTTGATTTACTCGTTGTTAAAAAAGTCGTTAGTCGTCATCTGAAGGAAAAATCATACATATGTAGTTTCAAAATTCATTGTGTTTTTGAGTAAGTCAGATCGAGAAATTATACCCCTATTACGCATGGCTACTAGTGCGAGTATAGATGCTGATAGCCAAGCTTCCTTATAAATTTTGCGCTTTATATTTTATACGATGTTACTCAAGAATGTTAAATCATAAATGATTTCCGACGATTTCAAGTATACTGAGATCAGTGACCTTAGGCAATACAAAAGGCTGATATAGTAGTCAGAACATTAGATGGACAATTATTCACCAGTCGTTTTACATAACAGAGATGTAATATATGTATGCAATATTTATGCAATATTTATGCACCGAAAGCGGACTTTCCTTGTAGGTCAGTGGTTTCTGCGATATTCTACGAGTTGTTTCATAATTTTTCAGCATTTGGAACATATGAACATTTTCCTAAGCATCAAAGACGAATTATTTTTTTTGTAATACCCTCCTCATTTCAGTAAACGGAGCAAACAGAATTCATGAATATTTGGGGAGGGGAAATACTCGACTATTATACCTTACACCTTGTCTCACACTGTTCCACCTCACCAAACAGGTTTTTTTTTTTAATTAACTTTCCAATTAGCTAAACTTTATTGAGAGCTTAGACAAAATCAACTCATAAACCGCAATAAGCTTAGCTGAAAGCACGTTAATGCGTTCGCAAAAGCTCTCAGCTTCAATCACCGTTCAGGCTTTAGGTGAAAATACTCTTACGAGGCACCTGTTGGTTACTCGTTTGCTATGTTCGGCTCGCCACTGCTAATTAACGGTTGTTAAATTAAAATGTAGTCAGCTAACAGTAATTTGGTTACAAAACTGCGAAGCTTAATTACATGGTCGAAATGTGGCGGCAGTATTCGTATTTTAGTGAGAAGAAATATATAGCATATACATATTTACAAGACATTTTCAGAATTTAACAACACTAAAGACTTGCGGCTGTCTCATCAACGCCTGCGCCGGAAGTTTGAGTTTTACTAAGAATTAATTTTAAATTAATGCAGAAAGTCAACGGTCTAGTAATTTCATTACAATTTGGAAAACTTTAGGGTTGTTATGCATTGAGGAAAATATTCGAAGAAAACAAAAACAACCAAAATGCCAAAATCAGCGAAATTTCACGAATATATCTCGTCAATTAAAGAAGTTAGCCATACAAGAACAGATTTTGTTCTGTTTGTACGACAGCTATGATACAGTGGTCCGATAACGGCGGTTCCGACAAGTGAGCAACTTCTTGAGAAGAAGACTCTTCCGAGTATAACAAAGACCCACAAATTTGGGAATCATTTGTCCGTAGTGCCCACCTTTGAACCCTATCCTTATTTGTATAGAGTATGGACCAATAATCAACATGCAAACAACTTAAGGCAACACCCTTTTTTTGCCTAAAAATGAGCCAGGAGATTATCTTCAGAATATGAAAAAAAATTATTTATGTATATTTTAAGCCAGAAATGCGGTTAATAACTGAAGATTGAACTGAAATTGTAGATGTCAATTTCGAAAATTTCCAAAATTAGTTCCGATGGAAGTCTTAACATTGGTCAACTGTCAAAGTATACTGAACATAAATGTCAAATAGATATGCTTACTTTGACAGTTTTTTGACAGCTATCCCTCTAGGAAATTCCATGCTTCTAAAAAAAAAACCCTATATTTTATTAAAATACTTCACGCTTATACCACTTACATTCTAAGCCTCTCACTCATTTTGCACACTTTCATTAATTTGACGCGATTACACGCTCGTAATTTGCTTAGGTTGACATTTCGCCCCTTAAATGTTTTAGCGCGTAAGTCAATTTGACGCGTCAGCAAGCCGCAGGCAGTTGCTTAACCACATAAACTCACCGCAATTTATTATAAATGTTAGGGAAAATGTAAATATTTGGATGCGAGTTTAGTGTCACAACTATACTCTTAAATACATATACTCTTCGGTGAAAAAATAATATAAATTAATTTTTTACAAAATTTATAGCTTCGCACAAATTAGAGATAGTACATAAGTACATACAAAATTAGTTTCCATTTTCAAACTTTTTTCACTTAAGCTCCACTTAACTCCGCTTAAGAGAAGACACATATGCATTATCTAATAGGCCCTTAAAATATTATTTTCTTGTCGAAAGTCATATACACTTATACCAACGATTAATTCAGAGAGTTTCTAATTGGCAGAAAATGAACTCGGTAATGCTAGGCAAATTGTTCCTTTAGTATTTCTAAGGACAATCAGCTACTTCTTGCGAAATCTCATATTTCTCTCATAGCCATGGAAGGCTCCAATTTTCAGAAAACATCGTGACATATTTACTAAAAGTAGGAGAAAATCGACCACACAAAGAGTAACTTGAGCAAAAAATCAAAATAGCTTAATAAAATCTTGTACACGTGTTCCTTAACACTATGGGGAGGTTGGTAGATTTC